TGATGAATTTTTTTGTTTATCATTAAATATGTATGCATCTGTGACTATTTTTTTAGATCTATCACAATTGTGATAAGTTATAGTGATGATTTCAAAATTCATCACAAATTTCTATCACCAAAAATCATTTTTCTTGTAGTGTGTATTATCTAAGATTGTATTACTCTATACGATTGCAAAGACATACCTTAGTGGGGCAATAAGCAAAGCATAAGTTCACTGCCTTCCAATTCTTCTATTCATATAGCTTGGATAATATGATTCTCATCTTAAAACCAAGAAAAGGAATTGGTGGCCCTAAGCCATAAAGCCAATTGTAAAACATAGTTTAAGACACTAATATATAGACATCTTTTAGTTTAACACACTCATTAAAAAATTATTATTTTTTAATTTAAAATTAAAAAAAGAAAAACTTAAACATGTAGCCATATAAATAGTATATGAGAACTGGTTGCATCTATATTATATTTTAATAGCCAAACTAAGTGTCAATATATGTATCAAATCAAAGGGTGTTCAAATCATGTTCTCACAATTTAACATGGTTTTATTAATCCAAAGATGACGCGCAATCGCAATAATTAGAATTTAAACAAGTTTAAAAGGAGCCCACTTGAATTTTTTTCTCTCCTTTTTGTTCTTCATTCTTTTTCTATAAAATATATAGCTTTTGGGTTTAATTGTTAATTAAGATGTTTTTAAGTCAATTTAGTGAAGATATTTATGAGTCAACTTGTTTGCACAATTGTTAGGTAGGAAAATATGCTTATTATTAATGAAAGGTATCTTCTTTTTATTTTTTTCTTCATTTTGATATTAAAATTAATACATAATTAATAAACAAGTACAAGGCATATTTCAATAATTCTTTAATATTAAAATTTCCCTTACTAAATTGGTATTTCTACCAAAATTTAGGGATGACAATTGGCGGCGCCATTGGGCTGGGAGGAGGCACCCTTGTCCCCATCCTCACTATTTGGTAAGGACAAGGATTCCCACAAGGATTTTTGAGAAGGAACAAAATTTGGCTCATCTCTATTAGTCGTTGAGATCTCTATTCCCTTCTAAAAAATATTAAAAAGAAAAATGACTGATATATATTTTTAATTTAACACACTACATAATTTTACCAATTCAATTATTAAAATCTATAATTTTAAATCTTTTTACCTTTAGTTTAAGTTTGAAAATAATATTTTTTTAATAAATGTGTTGTGAAATATGTTGAATTAGAAGATATATAAATTATTTTCTTATTAAAATAAAAAAATTATTAATTAAAAAAATTAGATATTTAGATTCTTTTAAGTTTCACTTAATGTAATCATTTTTAATTTCTTAAAATTAAAATGTTTAATAAGTTGGGTTCAATTTAAAAGAAGCAAGCTTCATATCAAGTGACTTTTAATTAAAAATGATAAATGATTGTGGGATTGAGTACTTAAGATATTATTATTATTATTATTATTAAAATGAGGCTCCATTTATTCACAAATTTTACACACTACACTTATACAAACTTTCATTTGTCTATTTTTAATAGTTGATATTTATTCATATTTATTAAATATAATTATTTTTTTCATTTAAAAAATCATGATAAATCTCAATAATTAAAAATGAAGAGATGAATTATTAAAATTTTATATAAATACGATATATAAAACTTGTGTGTAGGTAGATCCCTTCCTCATTATCATTATCATTATTTGCATTCAATATATAGGAATTCCAATGAAACTTCACATGATAAAAAAAAAAAAAAACAAAATTTATCACAAAATGTCATTAAGAAAAATGCTTTGCCATCCTCATTTTATAGGGAGTTTTGAAGAGGAGCAAAATTTGCCCCATGCATCTCTATTAGTCGCGTGATCTCCATTTCCTCCCAAATAATATCAAAAAACAAACAATTCTTAACTTAAAGAAAAAAACAATTAGACGTTTTAGATTGTTTTAATTTTCACTTAATGTAATTAATTTTTTTTTAATTTTTCAAAATTATGATGTTTAATAAACTATATTCAATTTAAAAGAATTAAGGTTTATATATAGTGAATTTTGATTATAAATGATAAATGATTGTGAGATTGAGTATTTAAGTTGTTTATTATTATTATTATTATTTACCATGAATAAAATTCCCAACAAAACTTCACAAGATGAAAAAAATTTCTCAAAAAAATTCTTTAAAGAAGTGCTCCCTATTCGCCCACGAGTAAGAATATTTCTTCTCACACTGTCTCTACAACTAAAATTCCTACAAAATTGCCATCTCTACTCAAATTAACATATTTGTCAACCAATTCAAACTGAAAATGCATTTTCTTAATATAATTTTTCACATAAAAAGTAGTCTCTCTCCATTTTTGACTTGAGATTATGAGGTCCCAACTCTCAGACTCAGGCCACCACTGTCTTTATATGGATTGAATGATAAAAAAGCATCGCACGTGGAGTCTGAATCAAAGCCACTGTCCAACCACAATAAAACACCCCAAAATTATTGCCCCAAAATTATAAAAACCAAAATTGAAAACATCAAACGTTTACAAAATTACTTTATCAATAAAAAAGAAAAACGTTTACAAAATTACAGAATCCACCCCATGAAAACAAAATATTTTCCCAAAAATTAATAAATATATCATATGCCAACCCCAGCTTTCTGGCACTATGATAAGATTATATTTAATATTGCTACAAAGTGTTATGATTATAAATCTATGATACTTTAAATATTTTATTATTATAAAAATGTATTGTTATTTAATAATTACTTTAAAAATAGTCTTAAGTATAAATATGACTATTAAATTATAAAAAAATATTAAGTAAAATTTATAAAATCATAATTAATAAAATTAACACTTTTGACCATTATCAACGATGAGAGCAATCCTTCTTTTTATCTACTTGCTAGCTACACACCTTCGGTCACTCATTGTATTTGTTTGTTTTTTTATAGACTTGCCCCTTACCCTTATCTTCTCTCTTTGAGAAAATGAAAATGAAAACAACTCAGCTGCCCATCTGAAATCCATTCCAAAATCTCAAGAAAAAGAAAGCATCAAGAGACCCACTTAGGGTCACCTACAGATCATGTACTCAGACAAAGCAAAATAGAATAATATAATCCCCCATGATCCATGGATCCTCAAAATGGGATATGCAGGCCAAACTTCCCTCTCCAGCTCCTAGAGAAAAAGGAACAACAGGAGCAGCTGCGTTCCACTTCTGGCGATGCAGAGCCAAGCTCAAAAATTATAACTTTGGAACCACCCAAGAAACCTCCTCCCAAAAGGGCCTCAACCAAGGACAGGCACACCAAGGTGGAAGGCCGCGGCCGCCGTATCAGAATGCCCGCCACCTGCGCTGCTAGGGTTTTCCAGTTGACAAGGGAGCTTGGACACAAATCCGACGGCGAAACCATTGAGTGGTTGCTGCAACAGGCGGAGCCTGCCGTTATTGCTGCAACCGGAACAGGTGCTATTCCCTTTTTTTTTTTTTTTTTATTACATAAAATTAAACTTTTAAAATTCTTAGGTACCGACTCAGCTAAACTCAAGTAAATTGTGTTGTTAAACAGGTACTATCCCTGCTAATTTTACATCTCTTAATATTTCTCTAAGAAGTTCCGGCTCCAGCATCTCGGCATCTCATCACTTGAGGAGTGCTTACTTCAATCCAAATTTTCCGGCGTCACAGCAATTTAGAATAAGAAGTGAGTGGGAAAGAAATGTTCTGGATGAGTCTTCTCAGCAGCAAAGGAGATTTTTGTTACCAGGCGTAGCTTTATCATCGGAGGATTCCTTAAATTTTCCTAGTAGCAGCAATGTAACCGCTTTCTTGCACGCTAAGCAAGAGTTACGCGACGGAGTGACCGTAGATGTCACCGATGCTGAAGCCATTTCAGCAGGGAAGAAGAGAAGACCAGAGCAAGAATCATCACATAGTCAGATGGCCGGTAGTTACTTGATACAGTCAAGTACGGGGTCGATTCCAGCAAGCCATAGTCCGATTCCAGCAGCAGTTTGGATGGTGTCGAATCCCAGTAACGTCATGAGCGGTGGTGTTGGTGGCGGTAGTGACCCTGCGTGGACATTTCCTTCGGTTAGTAACACCAATTTGTTTAGGGGAACTATGTCTAGTGGGGTACATTTTATGAATTTCACTTCTCCCATGGCTCTCTTGTCTGGACAACAATTGGGTTCAGTCAACCCTGGAGGTCAGGTGACAGATCACAGTCATTTAGGCATGCTGGCAGCCCTGAATAATTACCGGCCGATCCTTGGAACTGGTATTTCAGAATCTTCTGCAGGTGGATCACATCAACATTACCACGGAAGAGAAGACGAGCATGATACGGCCAGTCACCATTCCTAGAGCAAATTACACATAAAGTGTGTGGCTAGTTTGATGATGCTCATAGTATATGTTTGATCTGAAATAGGCATTCCCAGGTTTGAAATGTTTTGGAAATTCAGTGTGATGATATATATCCAATTTCCGATTGAAATAAAGAATTTAAAAAGTTTAATTAATGTTTGAAGAGAAAACTTATTACTTTACCCTAATCTTTCTTCTTCTTTTTTTTTCACACATCTATAGTTAGCATGTCTGGAATTGCTAGAACTAAATTTAGTGAGTTCAACTGGGCTGAACTCTAGTTAGTAAAATATGATATTCTTTGTATTGAAGAAATTAAGAGTACTACTCCACTGTACCGTCAAGGTTCATTACTGCCATTCAATTAGGATTTGGTTTATCCGACTTATCATAACCTCCTGTGTAGCAATAAAGCTTTGCTTCACAGAAAGGGCAGTGGAGGATTCTGTATTTGGTACAGTTTTAGGTCAACAGAAACTGGTCCAAAACCTTGACCCAAGTTCCCCACATGGAGATGATCCTTTCAGGGCCATATACTTTGAGCGTCTCTCTCAGGTTGAGAGCGTTCCAGCAGGTCATTTGGGCAAAAGCAGTATACAATCACTAATCATTCCTCCTCTTCTTCGTATATAAGGAAGCTGCTACCTGTCACCCTACGTATATATATATGCTATAAAGTCATTCAGTAATTCATTGTAAGGAAGATGCCTGCCAACGGCCACTTGTCGCCCCTGTTATATTCATATCTCTGACCATGTGATCGCAAAGTGGATAATGTCTCCTTCGATTGATTATCTTAATTCTTTGAACCTCTGTAGAATTCACTGCATACAATCCCAAGATGTCGGTATAGAAACTTTTATAATTCCTAAAGACGAATAGTTTTTTAAAAGAAAGATGTAAGATGAAATGTAATTAAAAAATGATCAGGGTCAAAGTTGGTTATTAGTCACATTACTTTTTCAAGTTAATGTACATGTGTTTTCAAAAATTTAAGTTCAAATTTTTAGTAATGGAATTGAAGCATTACATTCTCTTTCATTTAAATGTTTAATGTTCTTCTCAAGACCACAATGGATCTATCTTGAGTGATGTAACATTCTGTAGATAGAAGCCTAAGCATGCCACCACTATCCACTCTAAGTCCTTCCTTCCAAAACTAAGGGGAACTCCTCTAAGGCCTCACACATATCAATCGAAATAACATAAGTCAAAACTTGATACTAACCTAACAAATCTCTAGATTAAGTTCTACAAATCTTAAAGCTATGGCACTAGAAATAGATAATTTTACCCGTTATATTTATGAACAATTAGATACAAAGAGCCATCACAATTACATAAGCAATTGCTTCAAAGCCTGAGGACTACCAAATTGTGTGTCCAAAGCACGTGAGAAGTCTCATATGATATAAGTACTGAAACTGACAAGGAAATTGGTGATTCCTTGCATGAAATTTTCGTTTCCTTTTTTTGGGGATTTCTCACTCCACTCCTTTTTCACTAGGGTTTCATTAACTCTTATAAATATCCATTCAAGACTAATTTTTGGGGATCTTTCGGGGTCAACAGGCAAGGTAGGAGGGCTAACCGATGGCTGTCTCTCCTGTGTTCAAAATCGATGGCACCCTTCTTATCTTCTTTCTCGGTTTGGGGTCTGAGGGGTAGGTAGTGTTATATGCTCTCCATAGGAAGGGGTTGGTGACTTGTCTAGAAGGTGACAGATGTGGTTTAGGCGGGAGACTGTCTGGGAAGGTGGGATGAGGGTTGAGCCTTAGCCACCAAATAGCCTGGGTTCAACGTACATGACGGCGTCGAGGCTGTTTCGTGCGGTGGAGGGTGGCAGCTGCAAACTAGGATGGCTGGCGATGGGGGGTGTTGAGCTGCAACTTCGGTTTTTGGAATTACTGCTGTAGTTCTTATATCTTTTGTAGAGTTTTCATTTTGTTCTCTATTTATTTATTTTTCTATTTTGTCCAAGTTAGGTCTTGGTCTTGGTCTTGGTCTTGGTGGTGTTTAATATTAGTCCCAAGTCCGTAATACATATATCAAGGTTTGTGTGGCTTGGGGGTGGGAATGGAGGGTAATAGAGGTTGGGGAGGGGCCATGGCCCCCCAAATAGATTCAAACTCCCTAAGTTTTAATAGGTGTTTTATTATTATTATTATTATTATAAACTAAAACTAAAAGGTATTTATTTTTTTAAATAATAGTTAAATGGTACAAAAACAAAACACTTTATAATTTTAAAATTAGTGAATTTAAATTTTAAAAGGCATTTGATTGATTTGTGTTTCTAAGGTGTTTTGAAATTAATTGGGCCCCTCAAAATTCTTGGCCCCTCATAAAGCTTTTGTCAAGTTCTGTTCAGGAGTATAATAAGCCCAAGAATTATAGGCCCAATGATAGTACTTCAGTTCAGATTTGAATACCGAATCATTAGTGGAGGGACAAGCCTCTGCATCATTTTATTTATAAATAGTTTAAATGCCAAAAATAACTTTTTTATTCTAAAACATTTTAAAACATAACAAGGAAGAATGTTTATAAAAGAAAAGTATTTTTGCAGATCATGTTTATAAAATTTCTTTTGAAGATTTATTTAAAAATTTATTTTTAATTAATATTTTAAAAAATTAATGGTTAAATTAAAAATCTTATTCATATAGATTATACATGATAATTTTTAAATTATTTTAGTTGATCTAACCACCTTATTAATTATAAAAAATTTAATCTCATTAATTATATATTAGTAAATAGAGTTTTTTAATAAAAAATTATAAATATTAGATTAATATAAAAATTAACATATATAATCTATAAAAATAAAATTTTTAATCTAATAATTAATATTTTAAAATATTAATTAAAAATATATATTTTTAATTAAGTACTCTAAAAAAATTAAAAAAAAAAAATACAATCTACACTACACTGACATATGACCAAAGAAAAAAGAAAGAAAAAAAAAAAAAGAAGTAGTAGAAAACATGCCAAAAAGGGGCTCTAAATTATAACGCAATCAAGTCCTTTAATCCACCACTGAAGCAAACTAATGTGTAATATACTTAATTGTCCAAATTCATTATAAACATAATTTTTATCCATATTTAGTACCATAAATTATAGGTTCAACTTGAATTTAGGTGCCTCCACATGAAGATTCATATGTAATTTTTTAATTAATGAAATGTCTTTATTTCTCAAAAAAAAAAAAGACTTTGATGACTTCAGGCCGGCCCAAAATCCCACCGGGCTTGATGCCTTTAATCTTGGTACTTTCAAGTTTCATCGCAGGACGTCATTTGGGCCTTTGTATTTAATTTCTAGGATGGCGGTTGCACATAGAATTTTCTTTTTAAAAAATTCAAAAAAATTGACATTATTCATCTCATGTTCTTCTACTTATCTTTCGAAGAAATTTTCTGGCCCTCAATGTAAAATGTTTTAGTATTTATTATTAGAGTATTTATTATTTAATTTTTTATATACTTCAAAATTAATTTTTTTTCTTAATTAATTGTAAAATCACATCTTTATATCAATTTAATATATTCAACTCTCAAAATTATTATCTTTAAAAGAAATTTAATCAAAGATTTTAATTTTAAGTTGAATTTGTAATCAATTATTTCCAAGTCCCTAACTTTAAAAGATTCAACTTTAAATGAAATTTCATTTATATAAAAATTGAGTAGAATGTTTGCAGGACAAAAACATTGTAGTAAAACAATGCAACTAAATCGTTTTCATTGAAAAATCGCTGTTCTTCCCTCGTGCTGTCGTGCACCATAAGATTCTCCGGGAAATCAGTTCCCCATCGAAAACCCTTTAGCCCTTTAACCCTTTAGCCCATGCCCCACTTTTCATATTCTTCTTAAAAAAAAAAAAAATCAAAGCTTTTTTAAACATTTTACATTTCAATTCCATTTTGGGTTTTTTAGTCCAAACCCTCTATTTATTCTTTATACATTATTTTTTTATAATTAACACTTTTCATAATTTTTATTTTTGTTAATATCTTTCATAATTTGAAATTCATAAAAAATCTCACATTATTAACAAAGTTAAGATATAAATAAAGAGTTTAATTGTTAATATTTTGTATAAATAGAGAGTTTAACAATTAATTTTTAAATTTTTTACAAATTTTAAATTATAAAAAGTATTAACTGAAAAAAAAGGTTTTAAAGTGTTGACCATAAAAAAATAATGTGTAGGAGACAAATAAAAATTTAACTTTTTTTAATTAACTAGAACCCCCAATAAACCACATATA